CAGTCGACTCTCCTTACCTGTCCTTTCCACTATTTGTAAAACTATTCCTCATCTGCATCTTGTGCTGTCACCGGTCTGGGGTGTATGCAAAATGGGCCCTCTTTAAACCACAATATTTTCTACAATAAGACAATTGATAGGATGGCTCATTAAGCCCAACAATCTGATCATCTTTTTTGACTAAACTTCATCACAGTTGGGGTAAGATTTTAACACCCTTCGTGTTTTTTAATGTTATTATCTACATGAGAGGTTTGATGAGGCCTATAGGCCTGGGCTGGAGCGTGGTCTGAAATCTCAAGTGGTAATTCCACCTCAGTCGAATAAGTGGTGCCCTTGCCCATGATGAAACATTTCAGGACATTTGGGGTCCTGGCTAAAAAGCTCCTCAACACTATTATTGTGGCCTGGACTTGAGGAAGGATGTGTCAAAATACCTAAAATCTTGTCATATTGGCCCATCTGATATTTTCTACCATTTGAAGATTATTGTGGATTGCATTACCAAGACATCAGAAATCAATTCCGCAAGTTATGGATACCGTTACTAGAAACTTATATCTTAAAAACCGTAATCCAAACATCTTTTGCACCTTTTCACTTCGGTGGGCATTTCTGGTCCAATCCGATCAGAACAATTTTACGAGCAATCTTTTTTTAAACAGGTGATGAAGATAGAAGAATTTAGCTTGGACATTGGCACATCAATATAAAAAATACTGTATAGAACACAAAGGAATGGGATGAAAGCATAAAGACTACTCTTTTATAAAGTCATCATTTGGGTTTCTCCGTTCGGCGTTCATAGAGGTAAATAAGGGGACCTTAAAATAACATTGGTTTTGGAAGCCTCCATCTATTAAGCTCATAACAGTTCCCCAATACATTGACACTTTAAGGACCAGTCTTCAAGTCGAACTGCATTTCTCAGTCAAACTTAAGGTCCGAGAAAAGAAATATGGGAATTCAACCTAATGATTTAAAATCATTTCTCAGTGTCAGTGTTCCTCTTTCTGCCCATTCAGGCTCTCCATAAAAACTAGTTTACTGGATTATAACTGTGAAACTATACTCCTCTCAACTATATAATTCCCCATACTCTGATCATGAAAAAAGGTTACAACTGATACATTAATCTCTGTAAACTTTTTGCATTTCCCAGGCAGTCAGGAAGACATCCGGGCTACTCGTCAACCTGTGCCCACCACGGTTTAATCAGGCCGGAGCCGAGACAGCATGGACCTATTGGAGAATTTAGACTTCCCTCTACTAAAGAAAACCCTACTAACAGTCTACATCCACTCAACTTAACTTGGATGATATTTTCTGTTCTGGGTCCTCCAAGCAAATCTTCCTAATTCTCCGGCTTTTTATTTCTAAAGTCACATCAGACCTCCCAGGGTTTTTGTATATGCTTAAAACTTGATGTTGCTAATCTCCGGATGATGTAGCAGCCCGTGGGCAATCAGCCTATCGACTAAATCCACAAAAAAAGAGATTATTTTGTAAAAAGGTAGTTTTTGTTTAAAACATGGCTGAGGGACTAGTACTCTGGGACTTCACCTTTTCTCATTCCATTGATGGCTTTTTTTCGTTTCTGCGCGATTATCGTAAGTGAACCAGGTCTTGTCTCGAACTCCTACCTTTGATTGAAGATATAATAGACAGCATAGGCTGTGCAAATTTATCAGTACGTGTGGACTTGTTGAAGGATATTTAATTTGGACTCACGGATGGGGGGGCAAGTATTAATCTCGGCATTATAACTCCATTTGGTCTTTTTCAATGTTGGTTATAGCGTTTTTGGCTTTTCTATTCTCGGCGTGTACATTCAGGGGCCATCAACTTCTATTTGGGACCTAGGTGGGACGTTCGCCTACCTGGATGACCTGGTGGTTGGTGTCGGACATGGGACGAACATCTGGTTGCTTGTTTGGAATATTTGCATGACTGCAAGGCTGGATTCACGCTAAATCTGCTTTTGGCGGGCCTCAGTGACTTTACCTGGGACTATCGTTGGGCATGGGTAGGGCCCAAGGACGCAAACGTTGAGCCATCTTGTCCTTCTACTCAAGGACGAGGAAGAACTCATGCGCTTCCTGGGGATGTGCGGCTACGCGTCTGGTTCTGCGAGTACTTCTCCAGCGTGGCCGGACCCCTCACAGACCTTACAGTTCTGCTGTTCCCTTACATCTGAACCGGGGGTGCGCAGTCTTTCCACCGCCTCAGAAGCTGCCTCAAGCCTGGCTATCTTTTTCCATCTGCAATCGACGCTGAGTGGTGTCGGATTAGGTATGCTCTAACCGGAAGCATTCACTGATGTTCTTACTGCCTGTGGCATATTCTTTCACCGTTTGAAAAAACATCGGGCCAGCTTCTCGACACTGGCTCTGGTGTTGTATAAGTTGATGTTACCAGTCTTGCAAACTGCGTAATGGTCTTCACCGACCATGGCACTCGTTCATCCAAACCAACAAGACCTCCAACAGCAGATCCTCGGGCTCTCCTCACCAGCCCTATAGCCTGATTGCAGACTCCTTATCCAGGCTCAAATGCCTTCTCTCCAGAACCAATCAGCGAATCCTCCGCTGGGCTCTCCTCACCCAGCCCTATAATCTACAAGTCCGGCACATAAAGGGGGTGGACAACCTGATTGCGGACTCCTTATCCCGAGCTCCAGTGGAAATGCAGCAGCTACTCTCCAGACGCACCAGGTGATCACCTCCTTCGCGCCCGCGCTATGGAGGTCTTTGGAGGGGGGGTGTGTTACGAACCATGCCATCTATTGTCAGGATCTACCTACCCAGCACTACGAACCACGCCATCTATTGTCATGATCTACCTACCCAGCACCACGAGCAACGCCATCTAGGGACGAAACCCGAGTATGACTAGTCTTAGTCACCAGTCCGGGGTTTCCCTTCTCCATATCCTGGTTGTTGCGTCACCTCCTCCAAGTCTTCCTCATCAGCTCCAGATCTAGGAGAGTTCAGTTCACTCTGGGAAGTGACCACACTAGGATCACCTATCCTGGAAACCTACGGCACAGTGACTACTTACCATCTTCTTCAATACTCAGCCTTACTCGTCAGACACCTCAGCACTGCACTTGAGTATTTTATGTTACCTCCCACCTCCACTTGCTTCAGATTGTTGTATGTTGTACAAATATGTATATACTGTTAAGCCAATGTTGCGTATGTTTAGGTTAAGTATGGTTAAGGGTAAATTATAGAAAGCTGAATATTTTGTTAAGGAATTTATGGTACTTTATTATACACAACAAAAACTCGCATCCTTTGTCTACCCTTTTATAGTCCGATTGTCTTTGTTTGTTTAATTTTTTTTTATTGTTGTTGCCTGTTGGGATCTGGGTTGACTTTTAACTATATTCTAAATCCCCAACTCATAACATAGTCTATATCTAACACTGTTTGGCTCAGGATTCTGGGGTCGTATCTTCGGCGTTGGAAGTCAAATCCAATTTCTGCAAGTACAACGGAATCCGATATAAACATATTGAAGGTCAATGGTGAATTAATAAAAAATATATATACTGTATTTGTGAGCGATCGAAGCACATGCTGAACAGTCTTATCATTCAATGAACTAATTAAAACTACGACCAGCATCTATTGCGTAGGCAATATATCATTAAAGAGTTCAAGAAAATAAGTAGAAATCTATATTATGAGGGATAAAACGGTAAGATTGAAATATTCCGTGAAGATAAATACGGGTAACCATATTACAAGTTATCTGATGGATTAATAAATAAATCTTTGAGAAATATAACTGAGAATATTTCACAAGAAGGGAAACAAAATGTTTTATTTAAAATATCTAAGAATCCTCTGCAGGGATTTCACAAGTTAAGGATATAGCTGTCAGGCCCTCATCCTTAGACACTGACCATTAGTCATCGAAGTTGTTTATATTTTCTTAATAATTACATGTTTTGAAATTACAAAATAAAATATCCTTCCGACAAGAGACAGTATTTTGATAAGAGTACCATTGTAACAGTTTTTGCCTCTGTGAATATCTCTAAATAGTTATCAATAAGAGTAGTAAGTTTTAGAAACTTAATGTACCTATTTTAGACTTACAGTTCGTTGAAAAGATCTAACTAGTACCTTCTTTGTAGTCAGCAGTAATGCGGTTGTATTATTTTTTTTTTGTGTTGCAGTATGGAAGGTACACGCTGTTGCAGCATTATGGTACACTCCCACATTGCCTTGTATCAAATTCACCCCTCCACCAGAATGCCTATTCACTACCCACCAGCCCCTCAGGCCACCAAACACTACTTGCCACCCACTGCTCACTCGTATGCCTTTACCACACTGGTGTCAGGTGACAACAGACAGTAAGTGGTCCGGCGTTTCACCCAAATAATAACCACCGATTACAGACACTTATGCTCCACAGAGAACATGCATGGTCTCTCCACGGTCTTAGGTCTGTTAGATGGCGAAGCATTTTTGTGTACGGGATGGTCTTGCTTTTTGGTTAATAGAGTTTGGATGGGTGGCAATCGCTGACGTACTAATCTCATATCCAAGAATATGAATATGGATTGATATGGTGAGTGTATATAAATTATTTTGAAATTCCAGTGAAAGAGTGCAAATGGTTAATATCTAGATAGAAGTAGGTTTAATTCGTACTGTACAATTTAGCATACATATGGTTGTTTTGAATAAACTAATTAAGGTTTCAGAATTTTTAAGTATACCTCCCTGTGAAATCAGATGACTTCATGAGTGTGGAAAGAAAAATTCCTTGCATGTATTAAGGATTCATTTAGGTAATATTAGAATATGATATTGCTATATATAATATTTGTATACAGTATATCAATTATTGACCAATCTAAGGACATAGCAAAGGCTCGTTTCCAGAGACTGATATCACCCTTTAGTTATATAAAGTGGTAGTTGATTATATGAATAATGATAGTGCAATCTGAAAGATTGTAGAAATTTGCCTAGAATCCCAGAACTCACTACAGTAGAGCCTAACTTTTCCGTCACAAAGGAAAAGTGCGTTAATTAATAATTTATTAATACGGTACCTGCTAATGCAATAAGATCAGATAAAGGATAAGTAAGCTAAGGGGTATGTTACCACAATGTTCTAATAATTGCTCCTCTTCTGTCTTATCTGAAGGCAATCTAGAAATCCAATGTAATCATTGAGGTTTCATCTCACTGATTGGCTATTTAGTGAATATATAATTATTATATTGTCATGTTTAGAATTTACTGTTAAAGAGTGATTTACTAAACTGTCCATATATTATTATTTGTGAGCTTTATGATTACTGTTTTGTTTTGTATAGATTTTTCATATATATATATATATATATATATATATATATATATATATATATATGTATATATATATATATATATATATATATATATATATATATATATATATGTATATATATATATATATATATATATATATATATATATATATATATATATATATATATATATATATATATATATATATATATATATATATATATATATTTTTTGTAGATCCACAATGGAAACGTAGATAAGATAAATCTCGATAAATTCACAGAGGAAAAAGGGAAACAATGGAAGACCTTAGCTTTTGACTTTATTCAAGAAATCATGTTTTGTAAGGTCACCCTGTGTACATACAGTAAGCCTCTCTCAGTCCTTGTAATCCAGATGCCTCTGAAGATGTCTTGAATAAAAACGAAAGCTAAGGTGCTCCATTGTTTCCCTTTTTCTTGTGTAATTTTATATATATATATATATATATATATATATATATATATATATATATATATATATATATATATTAAATCATCAGGATTGGGAGAGGAGGTATTTAGCTTAACATGGTCGCCATTTGCTTGCTGTGTTGGGGATCTGGTGACGATAACTATATTCTCCTAAATCCCCAACTCTAACAAATGGCGACCGTGACAGGACACGACTTTGGGTACCATATTCCTTCCTCCCTTTGTTACTACTATTGTTAATTATTCCTCCCAGTCACTTCTGTTCACAATTGCTTTACGGTGGTTTAAAGTTTTCCTTCATATGTGTGTGCATATATTGGTATTATCGTACAGTAAGAGTGACAGACGTAGGCTATTAGGTTCCAAGTGTCATAAGGCTTACCTGTTATTACACGTGGCAGTCGTGTAGTAAGCCTTATCGAGTGTAGGGAAGAATCCGGATCTGTTTAATGCCGTACCCTCACTCCAGAGTAGGCTGTTCCATAGTCACTAGTTTACGGTGAAGTGATATCTTGGGACGCCCTGCTCTACCAGGACCCCATATTTATAAAGCCTCAATTATTGTTCTTCTCATTATCTCATTCAGGGTCAATCATACCATTTATCAGGGTTGTTAATCCGGATCTTAATATTAATGCCGTAATACGCCCTTCCTCTTTAAAGTATCTCGGGGTTGTTAATCCGGATCTTTATATAAATGCCGTAATACGCCCTTCCTCTTTAAAGTATCTCGGGGTTGTTAATCCGGATCTTTATATAAATGCCGTAATACGCCCTTCCTCTTTCAAGTATCTCGGGGTTGTTAATCCGGATCTTTATATAAATGCCGTAATACGCCCTTCCTCTTTCAAGTCTCTCGGGGTTGTTAATCCGGATCTTTATATAAATGCCGTAATACGCCCTTCCTCTTTCAAGTATCTCAGGGTTGTTAATCCGGATCTTTATATTAATGCCGTAATACGCACTTCCTGTTTACTCAAGGGTTGTTAATCCGGATCTTTATATAAAATGCCGTAATACACCCTTCCTCTTTCAAGTCTCTTATCCTTATCTAAGGATCTTATCAGAAGGACAATATTTATAAGTGTAATTTCCCTAGGTATAACTTGGGTAGTTTCTGGGACTTTCTGGTTATCCACTGCCGTGATATTTTCTAGGGTAATCCACTTATCTTATCTTTTGACCATTAATTAAGTTATCTAGGTTTTCTTAATGGCCACCTCAGGATTTGTTAAACTTGGTAGTCCTGGAGGAATGGAAGAGCAAGATACCATTTTACATCTTGAAGCATGTGGAGGAGCGTGGAGAGGTTAATTTAGGACGTGCGGCTGAGCTGGCTGATGAGTACGCCTTGCTGGTGGAGTCACTGTGCCGTAGGGAACGTGGTACTTTCCGGCATGTTAGGTCCTCCTCTGATGATAACCTTGGGGACGTGAGTGGTAGGTCGAAAGGTCCCACACCTACCCCTCCTGATGCAACCAAGTTTACTTGTTCTTACTGTAAAAACCCAGGCCATACGATCCAGACTTGTAAACACCCAAAGTGTCGAATTGCTAAAAGTAGTTCCCTGGATCCCAAATCCAAACCAATAGCAACCACCAATGTGGAAAGGCCCCATCAGGATCTCTTCTCTTCATTCACCTATGAGGGAAAAATTTCAATCATAGAGGGGTCTCGTTCTTTCCCTATTCGTATACTACGTGATACGGGCGCAGCACAATCTATCCTCCTGTTTAACGTCATTCCTGATATATCTACCGCATTTACTAACGAGAGTGTTCTAATTTCAGATCTCTCATCCCATTCTTCCTATCCCTTAGCTAAAGTGCACCTCCAATGTCCCTTGATTACTGGGGAAGTGCAAATAGCCATTAGGAAAGACCCAATGCCTGTGTGCGGCATTCATTTATTATTGGGTAATGACTTGGTAGGAGATCTAGTGGTTCCTAACATAAAGACAGTCGACTCTCCCTTACCTGTCAACTCCACCACTGACCTTGAAGAAACTATTCCTCACCTTTTCCCATCTTGTGCTGTCACCCGGTCACAGAGTGTGCGAAATGGGCCCTCTTCATCTAAAACCACCTCCAATATCTTCCTACCCAGTGAAGATCTGTACAATAAAACCATTAGTAAGGATGAGCTCATTACAGCCCAACAATCTGATCCATCTTTGTTCAACCAGGTGATCACCTCCTTCGCGCCCGCGCTACGGAGGTCTTTGGAGGGGGGGTGTGTTACGAACCCCTCCACCCAGCACTACGAACCACGCCATCTATTGTCCCGATCTACCTACCCAGCACCACGAGCAACGCCATCTAGGGACGAGACACGAGTATGACTCGTCTTAGTTACCACTCCGGGGTTTCTCTTCTCCATATCCTGGTTGTTGCGTCACCTCCTCAAAGTCTTCTTTGTCAGCTCCAATTCGAGGAGAGAGGACTTGGCTCTGGGAAGTGACCACAGGATCATCTATCCTCTAAACCTACGGTGCAGTGACTACCTACCGTCTTCTACAATACTCAGCCTTACTCGTCAGCCATCTCAGCTCCTCACTTAAGTATTTGTATCTTGTATTGCCTCCCCCACATCCACTTGCTTCAAAATGGTTTATGTTTTATTAATATGTATATACTGTTAATGTTTAGGTTAAGTTTGGTTAAGGGTAATTTATAAGCTGAATATTTTGTTAAGGAATT